TGGTCAATCAATACGTGGATCACATGGGCTTAGAAATATAGCCTAGGATTTTTGACTGAAGTGACAATTGTGCATGCTAATTTTTTTATATTACTATAGTTGATTTCTAGCCCTGTCGATACTTTACTCACAAAATACATTGGTCTTTGTTTTTTTTCTTCTTATCAGAGAAAAATTAAATGATGGCTTAGTCTGCGGTGGCTAAGTATAAATATAAGGTTTTGCCGGACCTCGACTTAGATAAAATGGGTAAAAATGATAAGAACTCTTTGAGTTTTTTAAAAGTTTTTTGATATTGAGGGGTCCACCTGAAGTTAGAAATGATTCTAAAAATTTTGAAGAATGATAGACATCATTCTACCAACCTAGACATGAATCGACTTAAGGCAACTATTCTTCTGGTTAATCTCTGTACCTCTTTTACCAAGGTCGGTGGTTTCATATTTAGAATTGCCTAAACCTTTTCTAGGTTCTCCTCTATCTCCCTTTAATTAATCATGTAATCAAGAAACTTACCTGATATGACCATAAATACACATTTGCTTGGGTTAAGCCTTATGTTATACTTTCTTAAAGTATTAAAGGTCTTACTGAGGTTTTTTAAGTGCTCGATCAAATTTTTGCTTTTGACTATCATATCATCCACATATACTTTCATGTTGCGGTCTATCTAGTTTTTAAATACCTTATTTACCAGCCTTTGGTAAGTTACCCATATATTCTTCAATCTGAAGGGTATCACCTTATAGTAGCAAATGCTTTTCTTGATAATAAAAGTCATTTTTTCCTCGTCCTTTAGCATTTTGATTTTGTTATAACCAAAATAGGCATCCATAAAGCTGAAGAGGCTATGCTAGACACTATTATCCACCAATCGATCTATGCTAAGGAGAAAAAAGTTATCTTTTAGGCATACTTTGTTCAAGTCTATAAAATTAATACACATCATTCATTTTTTGCTATGCTTTTTGACCATGATTACGTTGGTTATCCATTTGGGGTAGTGAACCTCCTTGATAAAGTGTGCTTATAATAATTTATTGACTACTTCCTCGATGGCCTTTTGTCTTTCTAAGGTAAAAGTTCTTTTCTTTCGTCAAATCAATTTTACCTTAAAATTAGTATGTAGCATATGAACATCACATCAGTATCAATTTAGGGCATATCGCATGGTGTCCAGGTGAATAGGTTATCTCCCAAAAGTTGAATTAACTGACCCTTGTGTTGAAATTTAGTTTTGATCTACATATTCTTTTCAAGGATGCTATCCTAGAATGGAATTGCTACGACATCCTTAATTGGCTTAGGTCAATTTTCATCCAAGTTTGGTCTTTGATCAATTATCTTTTTTTATTTAGTTAGGTTCGACCATTCCTTACAAAAATAAATCTCAACGTTATAATCAGCATGTTAATGATAACTTGCTAGATATGTATATAGTGAAATTGGTATATATTTTTCATTTCAAGCTATATTTCGATCAGTATATTAGCTCGATCCAAGTGACATGTAATTGTTGATGCCAGCTTAAGAGCTCGATCATCTTTAAAATTGTTTCAAAATATTCAAAAAAATAGAACAAAAGATATCTTGTTGTTCGAGCTTAAGAGCTTGGAATTACTTAAGAGTGCATTTCTATTAGGTCGATCTTATGTTTTATGTTCTTGCCTATGGCTTTTTGTTTCTTATCATATTTTGTTGTTTGCCTTTCTTCAATGCTTTTGGTCTCAATTGAACTGTCAATTTGCTTTTCAATCCTCTTTTTCATTATTGTGACATAACACTGTTGTGCCATGGATTGGTCTTCCTTACCCTTTCTAACCCCATTTGTTGTTGGGAATTTCATATTTAGATAGGAAACTAAGCCTATGAATTATATAACAGATTGGCTAAATTAGCCTAATATTATGTTGTAGGATGATAGGACATCACCAATCATAAATTCTATAACTAAGGTGATAGTCATTGGTTCTGTTCCCAAAGAAATCAGTTGCTTGATGTTTCCCCTCATTGGTACCTATTCATTCCCAAATCCCACTAGTGTTTGGTGATCGACTGCAACTGATCTTCATCAATTTTGATTTTTTTCATAATATCTTAGTACATGATGTCGGTCAAGCTTCCAATATCAAATATGATTCTCTTGACCATATAGTTTTATACTATGATCATGATCACTATAGTATCATTATGTGGATGTTGGATTCTTTCTAAGTCTTCCAAGCTGAATGAGATTAGTTTATCTTTTTATACTTTTTTTTTCTTTGTCAAGGTGCTTATAGCCATGACCATGCCCGAATTGAACTTTTTTTTGGTCGAGGTAAAGCTGCTTTTAGTCATCACATTTATCATTTTGACAATCGGCCTATTGTTATAAGCTTGGACTTCTTTTTGCCTCTACTCATCTTCTTGGACTTTTTTTTTTCCATTTTTTGGCCTTCTTTATTTGCCCTATGTGAGCTATCTTTGATCTTATTTGTAGTCTATTCTGAGTTGGCCTTGTCTTTACTGCTCTACAAACTTTCTTAATTGACCTCTCATTATCAGGACTTCAATATCATTTTTTAGGTGAATGCAATCTTTGGTATTATGGCCTACATCCCTATGAAATGCACATCTTTTGGTCAGATCTCTGTTTGTGTTTTGTTTTAGTGGCTTTGGCCATCTAAGGTCAAGATTTCTCTCAATTTGCTTCAAAATCTTTTTTTAAGAGATATTCAGTGTAGTATAATTCTTTTTTCCACTAAGGCTTTTAGCCCTATGTCATTTTCCTCTTAGGAGAGGATCGTAGGAATCCTTACCTTTCTTACGATTGATAAAGGAGGATGAGCCTCTTTTGCCTTGGTTGTTTCTCATTGTAGCTTCAGCATCTATATATTTTTTAGCTATCAGTAAGACTTCGACAGAGTTTTAGGTGATTTTAGCTTTAAGGTTAATTTTAGGTGGTACTTTTTATCATTGAGTCTACTTGTTAGGGCAACTACAATGATCGTTTGCTCTAGGTCTTTAACTTGTAGAGCTTTCGCATTAAAATACGTGACATAGCTCTTAAAATATTCATTACAACCTTGGTGGATTGACATCAAACTCAGAGTTGTCTTTTTCGCTCTTTGGCTATTCATAAATTGAGCCAAGAAAAAGTGGCTAAGCTCTTTGAATGTTGTAATTGACCTTGGTTTCAGGCTGTTATTCCAGGACTGAGCTACACCCTTTAAGTGGTAGCCATACCTTTGCATATTAGAGTTTCATCTACATCTTGCATCATTTTGTTAGTCCTATAAAATTCCAAATGATCGAAAAGGTTAAAAGTACTGTTGTAGGTTTTCAAGGTCTAAATCCTTCTGAAGGTATGGCTTTGTCAATTTCTTTGGTGAAACGCGAGATTTCCAGGAACTTGAGCTCATCTTCGAATGCTGTTGCTTTTGTGATCAACTTTTTTTCCATGACTTGCATCTAAGCTTCCAAGTCATTGTGTGGTTGGGGTTCAGGGTTTGTCTATTTGGATTTTTTGATTATGGCATGTGTCAAGTTGTGGCTGGGGTAATGGCTAGCGAGTGTGTTATGCTCTTTTTCTCTGGAGCTCGAGGAGGCTTTTATTTCTTCATAACTTGGTTGTTTTACTATTGCTCCTTGGCCAAGGGTAATTAGGTCAGGCACTTTTAAAACTTGTGGTGGGGTTATGGTCTGCAACATTTGTTTAAGGGCCTGTATTTGCTGGATCAAGGCCTAAAATTGTTTAACCGTCGGGCTTGTCTGTGATGGGAGAAGTCATTTTGAGTGTTGACTATTATGTGTTTTTGTTTCAGTTAGGATGGCCGTCTCTCCTTCTTCTAAGGTTCTTTTCCTTGGTGGCATTGTTTCGTGTTTGGCTAGTGAGTGGAAAAGGAAGGCCCCTACTTGGCATGTCAAATGTTTGTGTCGAGCTCTAATCTTAGAGCACTTTTGGAAAAATAAAAGATAATGACAATCAGAGACAAAGTAGAGAGTGTTCCTTGTGTTTGCACTCTGACGTGTAAGTTAAAATAGGTGAGATGAGAAGAAAAGTAATAAGAAGAATTAGGAGTAAGATGAACTTACCTTAATGGTGTTTGGACCTTTATATTTATACATAAGTGATGAAGATCATTAGAGGATAATAAGGACAGTATCAAACTGATGTGATACTACGTATATCAAATTGACCTGACATATTAAGTCAGCACAAATGTGAAAATCACCCTTGATTATTTGTTGAAAGCTTGTAATATAGAAAAAAAATCATTATAGCTTTTTGGCCACTAGATGTCCTCCAACATGTCCAGAATCAAGCAATCCTATGAACTAAAAGTACTACCCATCCATAGCGGTTCCCAAACTCTCTGGCTCAGTCACCATAACTCGGAAGTTGAAAAATGTTGGCATGCCAGGCACTTATGCTGCTCGTGTTAGAGAGCCACTAGGGATTTCGGCTTCCGTCGAGCTTAGCATATTGAAATTTGAGAATATTAGCGAGGAGAAGAGCTTTAAGGTCACTCTTAAAGTTAATAAGTGGGCTGGTGCAGCTAAGGATTATGTTTTTGGAGGACTGACATGGACAAACGGAAAGCATTATGTAAGGAGTCCAATCGTGGTTTGTTGCAGCGGTTTCTAAGATTTAGGTTAGGACTTAATAAACTTTGAAGGTCTTTTATTTTATTTTAATTCATTACATGTGAAAAAGAAATGTATTAGTGGAAATATTTTTAGGATCATTTATTTATTCAGCACTCGTTTTTCCTGTTAAGATTCCAAAAGTAAAATCCTTGTGCTAGCTAGTGGTGCTAGCTAGTGAGTTGAGACCATCGAAATTCGTAGTATTTCTGATCCAAGTCATGAACTTCAAACCTTGGACATTGTTTCTTTGTCTTGTTGCTAAACTGATTTCTTAATCCATATAAAGAGAGAAAAAAAAAATCCAATTAGAAAAGCGTACGAGGCACTTGGCAGGACGTCATGTATGTGTCTTTTTTTTTTCATTTATTTAATGAAAGGTAAAAGCAATAATTTCTGCGTAGGGAAAAGAAACCCCGAACAGAAGTAATGTTGTTCTCAAGAATAATTAAAGAAACTTGGGGGCATCTTTGTCCTGTAAAAAATGAGAGGATGTTTAAACTCCAAACAAGATTGAAATTGACAAAAAGTGGGCAACATTTAGATATCATGTGGAAGGTAAGTAAAGGTGGTGACCAAGGAGCGGCCAGTCGTCATCTTTTGGCCTATCAACTATGAACCAAGTGTCATAACATATATCCTCCCTCCATTGCCCATAAATAATAGTAGCACAGTAGTCGATTACTTCCCTTCTCAACGGTTTTTAACTGCCAGAAGAACCATGAATACGGTGACCCGGCTTCACTCCCGCCGCTAATGTCTTGTCTGATCTGCGACCCAACTCTCCTTTCTGCACTCCCTTTCTGTTCACCAACCTAAGCCAGAGGCAGAGCTTCTTGTCACGTAGGTCTTTGCTTCTTACCCAGAAATGGAGACAGCACATGTTTCTTACAACAAGACCCATCCTTAAAGAAGGGAATCTCAGTATTAATGGCAAGGAAGCCTTGAAAGATGTCCCCGGAAACATTGTTGTCACGCCATTATCGGATACCTCCGCGTTTGTGGGTGCCACTTCCTCGGACAGCAGCTCCCGACATGTATTCAAGCTTGGAGTCATTAAGTAAATTTTTTTTTTTTGTTTTGGCTTAGTTTTAGAATTTTCATTACGCGTATTTAAATCTGTTGGTATTCTGTTCTCTTTACGTAATTAAGTTCCTTTTAATATCATAATGCGAGTAAGTTCACATCACCTTGATTTTCCTTCATTGCCGAGGCCTATTAATTGTTCCTATGCAAGGATTAAACGTTTTCATAAGAGATTCGATATTTTGCGTATTAATCAGCTTTAGTTAATTACAATGTTACATAGTGTAACTCGGGCGTTTTGTTTATTTCATGCAATTATCATTGTTTTATGTTATTTAAATGTGTTCATCAAACTTTAGAATCATGTTATTCTTTCAGCGACAAATTCCTTTCTCCTTAAAAGTAGATTTTCCATAGATTAAAATAATCGAGGCCTGCAAAACTGGAAGCATTGAGGAAAATATTTGGGTAAATTGATATGCTCTCCTTTCTTATGGTGACTTTTGTCAAGTTCAATGGCAACATTTTATGGTGTCTGCTTGATGCAGGGATGTCAGGTTACTCTGTCTCTTTAGATTTAAACTTTGGTGGATGATACCACGGGTGGGGAGTTCAGGAAGTGACATTCCTCTTGAAACTCAGATGCTGCTCTTGGAAGCAAAAGAAGGACCAACTTCTGGTCATTCTACTTATATCATTTTCTTGCCTGTTCTAGATGGCAAATTTAGAAGCAGTTTGCAAGGCAACTCCTCAGATGAACTTGAGTTTTGTGTTGAAAGCGGTCAGTATTGGCTCCAGGATATGTATTTTGGTGATTCATTTTTCTAATTTTTCTCAATATATGACGAAACAAACTAGAGTGGTGAAGAAGTCTTCCTTGTCAATAAAACATCAAAGTATACCTGGGACACTGCATAAACTTGACCAATAAACATCACTACCAGTTGAATTGTGGTTCTAGAATTCTATCATGACCCTAATGATTCATGCATTCAATTTGATAAGATCAGACGGTAGTTTTGTTTAGCTGGGCCTAGGTTCAATTGGGATTAAAGAGACAGTAACATTAAAGTGGCTAAGAATGGAGTAGACTTCCACTTCTTGAAGAAGAGATGACAAAAGAAAAAATGGGGCAGAGAAAAAGCTTCTTGGTTATTCTTACTAACCATCTTAATTTTCTGTTTATGTAGTCTAATGATTTGGATATTTTCTGTATTTTTACAGGTGACCCTGCTATAGTTACATCACAATCCTTGAAAGCAATTTTTGTTAACTATGGAAACCATCCATTTGATTTGGTGAAGGATTCTATGATGTAGGTCAGCTCTCTGAGCAAACGTTAAGTATATATATGATATACAGCTACCAACTGTCATTGGACTTATGTTATATCAGACAAGTGATATATATGTGATATAGATCTGATGACACCAAGCTACCTGATTGGCTCACCATTCAATTTGTACTTAGCTAGAAATACGATGATACTTTCTTATTTATGCTTTGAACAATAATCAGGATTCTGGAGAAGCAGTTGGGAACCTTTACTCTCCGTGAAACCAAACAGGCAAGTTGGCCTACCATTTTATATCTAGTGATCAACTAAGGGTAAGTTTTTTTCCTTAAGACATAAAGAATCAGAACCGAAATATGTAATGTGCATGTTTGATGCTTTTCAAATGCAGATGCCTGGAATGCTAGATTGGTTTGGTTGGTGCACATGGGATGCATTCTACACAGAAGTTAATCCCCAAGGAATTAAGGATGGCTTAATGAGGTTAATATAGTTCTGGATTCATGTGCTCGCTAAACATAGCAAACTGAATTACAGATTGATATGCAAAGTGAAAATTTCTTGCATTGGGTTCTAATATATATTCATTGTTGTTCATTTCTGTGTTTTAGAAAGCATAAGGCAAATAAGAATTAATTTGTATATGTATATGTTCAAAGCTCGAAAATTCTTGCGTTCTTGATTCTATATTTCTAGTATTTGTTCACTGCTCGGAGTATAATATTAAGCTGTTGATATTACATGGCAAAAAGGAAAAATGGAGAAAATAGTTAAGCTGTTTTGCCTATTCATGACTGCAGTGTAAAATACATCATTTTGAAATAGCCTCATAATGCTCCTTGATCAGCTTTGAAATTTGCCCTGGAAGTTGCTTCATTATGCTTTTGTCCAATGTGGTTGTTCCTTCTGCAAGGGTTTATTACTCCATTAGGATAACTATTTTCAACAATGTTCCCTTCAAATCTTTTAGTTTTGTTTGTGCATTTTTTTTGTAGCATCGTTTTCATCTCTCTCTTCTATTCTGTCACATACAGTTTATCCCAGGGAGGGACACCTGCAAGGTTTTTGCTAATAGATGATGGGTGGCAAGACACGGTTAATGAGTTTCAAAAAGAAGGGGAGCCATTTGTTGAAGGGTCACAGTAAGCTCACTCTGTGTCCTTTTATTTATTTTAAAGAACATATATTGGTTCTCAACCCAACCTCCTCCCCTCCAACTTTCAGGTTTGGAGGCAGATTGGCCAGCATTAAAGAAAATAAGAAATTTCGGAGAATAGACAATGAAGCTAAAAGCAAGGCGCCCAGTGATCTAAAAGAATTTATTTCAGATATTAAGAGAACTTTTGACCTAAAGTAAGCTTTTTGCAGACCTTGCACTAGAGGTTCTCTCATATTCTTCCCCTCTGTTTTAATTATGATGGAATCTGACACGACCTAGGATTAACACATTATATCGGTGAGGAGAACTAATGCAAACATGATTTTCATCTCAAGACTCTTCTCAGAAAGTGTCTTTACTCTATTTCATATATGTTTGACACATCCAGGAGATTTCATCTTACTTTGGATTTTTCTAAATTGTCAGGTATGTCTATGTTTGGCATGCCCTGCTGGGGTATTGGGGTGGCCTTGTTCCAAATGCGCTGGAAACTACAAGTTATGATCCAAAATTGCGATACCCTATCCTATCACCAGGATATTTAGCAAATATGAGGGATATATCAATGGATTCTATGGGGAAGTATGGTATTGGTGTGATTGATCCCGATAAAATATCTCAGTTTTATGATGATCTACACAGCTACCTTGTTTCACAAGATGTGGATGGGGTTAAAGTTGATGCCCAGAACATATTAGAAACCATCTCTGCAGGTTTATATGGTCGAATGTCACTTGCAAGATGGTTTCAACAAGCACTTGAAAGGTCCATAGCTACCAACTTCAAAGACAACAGCATAATTTGTTGCATGGCTCAGAGCACAGACTCCATTTACCAGTATGTAACTCGTGCTTCCTAAAGCATACCAAGTTCTGCATTTTCCTTAGAGAAATAAGAGAAAATGAATCCATCAAGTTTACTTTTTTTTTTTTTTTTGAGTCTTGAGTTGCATGTAACTGCTAGTAGAACCAGGCACAGTAATTAATAGGTATGTTTAGGTCTCCTCTGGGTGAATCAGTTGAGTGATTTTAGTAGTCCATGTCATACTTCTATCAGACGTTTCAAGGACTTTGAATTGGATTACTACATTCATCATTACGGAGATTTTTTTTTTTTTAGCAAGAGACTTTAGATGGTTTTAGGCTGTCAAGTTTTGAGTGCTGGTAGTATCGCCAAATTATTTAAAATTTTTATTCCATTGCAGTCAAGTAAAGTGCGAAATAAATAAGTTTTCACATCAATTGTTTAAAATGAACTTACCTTATGTGTTGTTCATTCTATATAGTTCACATGATTATAACTTTTGTAGAGTAACATTATGATTAGCCTGCCCTGCCTTTGTTGCTGCAGTTCAAAACAAAGTGCTATTTCACGAGCCTCTGATGACTACTATCCAGAAGATCCTACAGCACAGGCGCAACATGTAGCTGCTGTGGCTTTTAACAGCATATTTCTGGGTGAAGTTTTTGTCCCAGACTGGGACATGTTTTATGTATGGAATTATGTCCCTTTACTTTTTCCTCTTTTTCTAAATTTCTATTTATCAGTATCGTACATTTATCAGCCTCTTAACAACTTTTTTAGAGTCTTCATGATGCAGCAGAGTTTCATGCTGTTGCTAGAGCTGTGGGAGGTTGTGGGGTTTATGTCAGGTAAGTGCGTTTTTCCGATGGTATAACCGCATAAGAAATTATTAGTTATACAAGGTTATATATATGAAACATATGTTATATGTACCAAATATATATATATATATATATATATAATCATTGAATAATAAAATCCTCACATGATTGAACTTGTACTTAAAAGACCTCAAAATTTTAGGAGCTCCTCTTTATCATAAACACATTTATATTGTACTCAAATGCCTTTAAAAACTTTAATAATAAGATAGATAAATATTTTTCTTATAGTATGTGTAGGACTATAAAAAGTGCAAGGTAAAAAACAACAAAGAAGAGAGAGAAAAGGGGAGATAAAAAAAATTTAAAAATCAGTATAAATCGGATTTTTTTTATCTTCAATACAATATTTTTAGTTTTAACTTTTTTATTATCCATTTTATTATATATTTTTTATTTTATTTTTTCTCACCCATAGCCCCATTCTCCCTATTGCTACTCTCTTCTATCTCATTTCTTCTCATTTTTTGAAATGTCAAAAAAATCATAAAAAATTGTGCGCACACACACACACACATGTCCATATATATATATATATATATATATATATATATATATATTTGAGTGGAGTACTCTATTCAAATTAGAAAAGAGATGAATATAAAACGTAAAAGATAAAAGAACCCCATAACTAAAGAAAAGTAGAAAAAAATGATTTATGTGGGTTTTTTCTATATTTGTTAAAATTATAAAAAATGTGGAATGGAAAAAATTGTTAGATTTTTCCAATAATTTATCAAAATTACAAGAAATTTGAATGGAAAATGTATTAAAGAGCAAATTTTTGTAACTTGTGAGAACTGCAAAAAAAAAAAAAAAGAAAAAAAAATTCTTTTTGGTATTTTAAAAATATTATAAAGAAGGCTGAAACAAATATTTAAGGGGAACAATAATTTTTTTGTTAAATTTATCAAAATTACATAAAAAATACTCAAAAAAAAAAAGTGTCAACGATGGAGACTTACCACATATCAACAAAGGTGACCATGTTTATAGGTTTCATGAAGACATAAATATAAATGTGGCTGTTGCATTATAGTCCTATATATATGCTATAAATTACTTACATACTGCCTTGAATATGTACGTACCGGCCCTAAACCTAGAATTTATAATATATATATATATATATATATATATATTATTCTTTTATCAATTGACAATTTGGAATATTTCACTTATGGTAACAGTGATAAACCTGGACAGCATGATTTCAAGATACTTGAGAGGCTTGTACTTCCAGATGGGTCAGTACTAAGAGCTAAATACCCAGGAAGACCATCTAGAGATTGTTTATTCACTGATCCAGTCATGGATGGGAAGAGGTATTTCAATTCAATTCAAGTAGTGCACGAGAATTTTCATACCTCGAGTTAATTGGGTGTTTGTTTTTTGTAGTCTTCTCAAGATATGGAATTTGAACAAATGTACTGGAGTTGTTGGCGTCTTCAATTGCCAAGGCAGCTGGCCTCGCACGAAGAAGGCAGTCCGGATGGCTGCTAGTTCTGAGCTCTCTGGACAGGTCTCTCCTGCTGATGTTGAGTATTTTGAGGAGGCATCAGGAAACCAATGGACTGGAGACTGCGCAGTCTTTTCCTTCAAAACAGGTAAAAAAAAGGATTACTTCATGATCAGCATGTCTCGTGCATGGTCATATGTATATATGACTCAGGCATGAGATGAGGATATATATCATCTGTTTGATTTGATGAAGATTGATGAACATGTGCTGTGTCTGTTTGGTACAACTGTTAGGTGCTGTTTCTCGATTGCCAATGGAAGGATCATTGAACGTTGCATTAAAAGTTTTGGAGTGTGATGTGTTTTCCGTATCTCCTATCAAGGTTTGCTTTCCTAATCAGTCAGCCCTCATAACTAATTAATTAATTAAAGATAGATAGATAGATATTTACATTTTAAACTTAATAATTTGTTTTCTCAAATAACAACGTCATTATATTAAGCAAGCACAACTAAGTTAACATTTCTTTCTTTAATTTCTTGTTAGTAGATATGTAATGCAATAGCAATGTGTGGGGATTTCATGTGATATTAACAGCAAATGACAATTAATCATAGGTTTACGATGAGGAAATCGAGTTTGCAGCAATTGGATTAATGAATATGTACAATTCTGGGGGAGCCCTGGAGACAGTTGAGAGCTTGGGTGATTCTTCCGGTTGTAAAATACATGTCAAGGGCAGAGGAGCCGGTTGCTTCGGAGCATACTCTAACACAAAGCCCAAGTCTTGCTCCATAAACTTGAAAGATGAGGCATTTAACTTCAACGGCCACGACAATCTTCTTACAATAACCATTCCTGCCACAGTCAACTCTTGGGACATTGCCATTTGTTACTGACGCCTCCATTTTTATTTTATTTATTTTATTAATTAAGGCCTTAAATGTCATATACATGAGCTGAATTAATTAATTAATTAATGAACTTTTAATAGTACTCAATTCAATCAAATGTGGATATAATTAATTACTTTAGATAAGAAAAAAAATAGTATGCATGTATTAGTTATTCGTACACTTTGTTTGACATGATCAAAATATCTTTGACAAGTAAAAATAATTAACTAATTTTCATTAATTATATTATATTTTAATAACATTAATAATGAAATAATAGGTGGTATTTGCATAACAGAAAACTAAAAATACAAGTAGACATTTGATTTTATCTGAAATAATTTAACATAACTAATTTGGATTCGTTTTTACACTTGAGCTATAATCCATATTTTGGACTTATTAACATTTGACTCATTTTAAAGGATCTATTGCATAGGCCACAAAAGTCCATTTTAACATCTTAATATGATTGTAACCTTAGTATGCATCTATGAAGCTGAGCAAATCGTGTCCAACACTATCATCTACCAATTGATCTATACTTGATAGAGGAAAATTATCCTTTAGGCAAGCTTTATTAAGGTTGGTAAAATGAACACACATTCTCCATTTTTCATTATGTTTTTTCACCATTATTACATTGGCTATCCACTCAAAGAAATACGTTTCCCTAATGAACCTAGCCTTTAATAGTTTGTTGATCTCTTCCTCAATCAGTTTTTACCTTTCAGCAACAAAGCATTTCTTTTTTTGCTTAACTAGATTTATATTTAGGTCAATATGCAATATAATGACTATTATTTAGGAATCGATTCCAAGCATATTTGATTGGATCCAGGCAAATAGATCGACATTATTTCTTAATAACTGTACCAATTTTTTTTCTAGTTGAGTTTGGCTCCTATTTGCATACATTTTTCTTAATTATTTCTAAAAAATGACACAAGTATAAGAGCTTTCACTAGTTTTAGTCAGTAAGATCAGTTTCGGGCCTTTGACTAATGATTTCCATTTGTTCAGATCAATCAAGATTGAATCTTACAAAATAGGCAATTCCTGATGTGAACTTTTGCTCATTTAATTTATTTGTCTAGTTGGAAGAAAAATAAACTCATGCATTAAGATGCCAAATATGAGTTCTATCTAAATGAATTTATTAAATAGTATGCTATTCATGGTACTAGCTTAAAAGCTTGATTTTAAGTTTCACTTCAATGTTTTCAGTGTCAGCTTACAAGCTCGCTTTAAAAAATATTTACAAATTGCAAGTTTAAAAGCTTGTTTTTATTATGGTTTTAAGAGAGCATTTTCATTTCTTCCTAACGTTGTTGGTCATCTACTTTTTACCTTTAAACTTTTTTCCTATTCCTTCTTCTCCTGCCATCACCCTAACCTCTGTTCCTTCTCTGACTTGGGTCTACTTAGCACAAGCTGAGCTCATAATCTGTTTCCTTGTCCTCCTCTTCATGATAGTAATATAGCATTACCTTCCTATAGACTTGTCTTTTCAAACCACTACTATCCTATTTGGGTAGGTAATTTGATTTTGAAGTGAGTTGAGCCAACAATTCTCATAGCAGACTAGCTTGTCCATCCAAGATCATGTTGTATGCTAAGGAAGCATCCACCACCATAAACTCAAAACCAAGGTAATAGTCTTTGGCTTGGTTCTTAATATGGTAGGCAAATTGATAGTACCTTTGATTAACACTTATTTATTTCTAAAATCGATCAAAGTTATGGTGAAAGGCCTTTGTATATCCTTGGTGATCTTCATGTTTGGCATTATGGAATAATAGAAGACGTTAATCATGCTCTCATTATTAAATAATATCATTTTCAAAGCATGACTATACACCATGACCTGTATGACAATGCCATCATCATGTGAGAATTGGATTCCTTCCAAATCTTTAAAGCTAAAAAAGACCTAGCTTATCCCTTTAATTCCTCTATTTCTTGGCTGCAAACCTAATAGCCATTACTGTTCCTTGGTCGAATTTCTTTGTGGTCAATGCCGAGGTCCTATCAATTATCACATTAATAATTGCTATAATGGGTCTATTGTCCACCTTATTCCTTTGTTCATCCCTCTAGTTAGGCCTCTAATCAATATTACCTCAGCCATCGCCTCTCATTCTTTCATCTTAGTTTCTCCTTAACTATTCTCTCTTATTTTTACCTCTAAAATTCTTTTACTCTGCTTTTATCTCATGTGATCTACAAATATGTTCAACTAACTTATTCTAGTCAAGTTTTCTATTTCATTCATCAGATCTATGTAGTCCTTGATATTATGGGCATGATCTCTACAAAAAACACATCTTTTCGTTAAATCTCTTTTGCTATTTTACCTTAATGGCTTAGGTTATATGAGCTCGAGGTCCTTTTCAATTTGCATCAGAATTCTCTCTCATGAGGTATTTAGTATAGTGTAATCATTGTATTTCTTGCCCAGATTTCTTTCCTTATAGTACCCATCAGTAGATTTTCTCCCTTTTGGGAGATTGTCATTATTTCTTCCTATTTTTGGTTGAGATAGGGGTATCCCTCTCTCACCTTGACTACTTTTCTTCATAGCTTATGCATTAATATACTTTTTAGCTATCAAAAGCATGTTGGCTAGGTCTAAAGAGAAAGTGAGCATAAAGTAGTATTCTTTGTCATTTAATCCACTTGTTAGGGTAGCCACAACAATAGCTTATTCTAGATCTTTTACTTAAAAAGCTTTAGTGTTAAAACGCATGACACTCTTTCAATGATTTATTCCATCCTTAGTAAGTAGACATTAAGCTCAAGGTGGTTTTCTTTATTCGTAGGCTACTGACGAAATAAGTCAAAAAAGAATGATCAAACTGCTTGAAGGTTAAGAATGATCTCGGTTTCAAAAGGGTATACCATGATTGAATAACCCTTTTAAGTGTCATAGCTAGTCTTTTGCACATTAAAGGCTCATATATTCCTTGTGTCAACATATTAGTTCTATAAAGCTTACGATAGTCAAAGAGATTAGCGGTACCATCATAAGTTTCAAAAATGGGCATCTTAAATCCCTTTATTGGTAAAGGTTAGTCAATATCTCCAGTAAAAAAGGACATTACTAGAAACTTGAGCTCATACTCAAATGTGAAGGATTTATTCTTGAGCTATTTCTCTATTACCTCTATTTAGGCTTCAAGTCTTTATTTGGTTGTGGTTTCAAGGTGGCTTATTTAGATTTTTGAGTGATGGTTTGTGTTTAGGTGTTTGTGGAGTAATAGCTCTTAGAGGTTTCATCCTCTTTAAGGGCTGACAATGTAGCACTATCATTGTAAGTTGGCAGCTTTTGTGTTTGTGGGTTTCTAGGGGTTGTAGGGTTTGGTTTTTTTGAGGTTTGTGGGGGTGTTAGATTTAGGATTAGTTCTTTTAGTGACTATAATTGTTGCATGAGGGCTTCAAATTGCTCCATTTTTAAGGCTATTTATATAAGTTGATTAGGATTTTATGGGCTAAGCTAGGTGTTTCTTCCAATTACAACGGCATTATCTCTTTTTTCGATAACTTTCTTCTTAGGAGGCATGATTAGCTCGACTGAATAGATAAGGTCCTCTACTTAACATACCAAAATGTTTGGACCAAGCCATTTAACGAGGCTAGAAACCTGAAAATACAAGTTTGGAGGTCGATTTGAAGCAAAGTTCAAAGGATTCTCTAGCTTAGTACTATAATGTTCAAGTTAGTGATCGAAAAGAGAGAAAAAGAGAAAAATTTTAAGAAGAAAGAGAAGAAAATAAAATGAATCTTTTACGTTTGAAGGGGTTATTTACACCTGTTGGTTAAAAGTGTCGAACCTGGGTGACCCAACCTTCAAGGGCTAACAATGATGGCCCGACTTAGTCTGCAAGCAATAGTTTAATTAAAGGATGACAAGTCAACATTCTAATATGTCTTTAGGTGGGAAGTTGAGGTGGGCGAGCTGATGTGGGTTCTAAAACTTTAGGTCAACTCTGGTCAAAATGATGAAGTTACCCTTACTTTGTTGATAAGTCAACTTCTTGAGAAAAAAAACCATAATGCCCTTATGATAATAAAATGCCCTTAACAATCAACTTGACCTTTCTCAGTATGGCTAGCAATTAAAGCATTTCATGAAACCTCATTCTTGGTATAGGAGGCAACGAAGAAAAAGTAAGCCTTATCTATATACAAAAAGAAACTACCCACGTAAATGTTAGAAAGGAAACCACACTTGAAACAAAATGGCATGAAGTTAGGTACCTTAAAAGTGTACTGTGGGGTGTGTTAGGACAGGCAACAAAAGCTTTTAGAAAGCTAGACAAGGTGAATTGATTGGGAAGGAAACCTAAAAAAGGCATGTAAAGAAACAAAAAGAAAGCATGCAAAGGGCGATCATGCTGAGAATAAGCAATGATCAAGGTGGTCCAAGTGACAATGTCTTTACGAGGCATTTCGTTGAATAGACTATAAGGAATGTCTAAACGCCACACATAGCATACATGTTGAGGCTGGTGTTAAAGATGACAAGATCATGTCGAAAGAGGGAGTTGAGGATGTGGGCACGTAAGATTTTTCATAGTTTGGGCTTTCTCAAGTAAGTTATTTTTTATTTTGAGCAAGAGATGGTAGAGAGTTTGGTGGGGTTCTAGAAAACTCTAATTAAAGAGGTCTAGAACATGAAGGCCAATACTTGAAAGATGAAACATCTTATGAAGAAGGTTATCATTTTTTATAATACAAAAAAAAAAAAGCCTATGGTATAATGTTGATGAGTGGATGCAATGGTAGTGGTGCTAAATTGTGAAATAGCGTAGGCAACTCTAGATTTCAAATTCACCACCATTTTATGATTATTATTGTTATGGTCATGGAATATGATTGTTGCTTTTTATGCTAGCAAGTGCACAAATTGTATCAAGTAATAAAGTAATGAGTAAGATCATTCCCACGAGTATTATGTAAAGAATGCATAAGAAACCAAGTACCAAAATTAATGTTTTTAATATTATATTTAGATGATGCAAAATTGGATGATTTTTGATTGCAACAAGACTCAACACAAGAAGTAATTAAATGGCAATATGCAATATAAAAGTAATTGTCTAACCTAAGAATG